GACATTTGACTTTCTCAGAGGCCAACACGAATCTGTAAGATGAACAAGCTGAGGCACAGATGAACTACTATCATATTTATTCGAAAGAGATTCTTACTATATAAAAAGTGCCCTTCTTTTTCACGTGATATCTAGGCTTATTGAGATGACATGACTGACTGCTCCTTGAGGCAATTATTTCAAGTACTGTGCCCTGGAAATGCATGGCTGCACATGAAATCACCAATCACTTAATGGCTACAACTTTTCACTGGGGGATATCTTCCCTTGATTTTTTGGGGTGAAATACCTACGATGAACATATCAGAATGAGAAGTTTTAAAAGCCCTGTTTTGTATAAGTATTATAGGATGTCATTTTTTGTTTCAGGAGCAGAGAAAAGGTTAAATAATGGTGGGGTCAGAATGACTCCAAACAGCCCAGGCAAGGAAAGTCTAATCCTTCTTTGTATAACTGGTTGAATTAGATGACAGGATTATGATATTACCACAATGACCTGGGGAAGTTAGATGACCGGAATATAATATCTCTACAATGACTTAATTTCCTCTTGACTTTAATATGTCACATGAACAGTGCAATTCAAGTCCAAAGGAACTTAGTGAAGCATATTCTGGAGTAGTTGGACTATGCTGCAAATTAAGTATTTTTTAGTGCAAAGACATTAATAGTTTTAACCGTTATGTACTTTTACGTAGACCATATTGTTATGGTACAAAATTAAATAATTTCCTAGAAAATCTTCAACATTTATAATGAATTTATAACACAAGTACAGTGTATACAAATGGGTTCTAAAAATGTTCAACTGAGAATTATTTGGTTTAGTTACCTTTTTTTTAAATCAGCCAACATGTTTCTGAAGGATGATCAATTACAGAACTGAAATACTGTACAAGATTAAGTTTTAATGGTCTCTTTCCAGATAAGGGAAAATTGCTTTATCAGAGGGAAAATAACAAGCTGTTTTTAACTTTTAGGCAACCTTAGGCATGAAAGCCAGTTGGGTAACTTTGGGCTAGTCATTATCTCTCAGACGAACATCTTCACAGGCAGTGGAATCAAATATTTTAACAACCGTTTCTCTGCCCTCTGCCCTATAATTTCTTTCAACAACCAGTTCACCAAACTGCTCAGAAAGTTAACAACCACTTCTCCTGAAGTGGTGCGAACTGGCTGAATCCCACCACTGTTAAGGGTAGGGTTGCGGTGGTGAAAATTGGAAGCATGAATATTAAATATGTTTGCCGCCTTGAATTGATAAAAAATGTAACAGTCAAGATAAAAGAAACCTATTGTGAAAAACACTAATAATAACAGCAAAAACCATAATAACTATGTACTCAGGTAATCCAAAGTACATGTACTTAATTAATCTGTAACTTTTCCTGAGATCAAACTTCCTCATAAATCCTGCCAAGCACTCGATAGAAAAATCAAAACATATATACTAAGATTTATAATTATCATTCATTTTCACATTTAAAATTCTAGACTGCCTCAAGATAGAAATAATAGGAAATGTAAGGCACTCTCTCTAGTTGAAAAAGGATTCTACATTACAACTATTATCTCATTAGGAAATATAGCTAACATAAGGTACCATTCCATATTAGAACATATATAATTGCCTAAAAATGTTCTGATCTATTCTACCTAAGACTGTATAGAACAGAATAATAAATGCAGACTCACAACACTGTTCTTATTTAAATATTTTCAAGCACTCCACCCAAAATAATCTTCTGCTAGCCAGATTGATGTGTATTCTCACACAGTTATAGAATACTGGCAAAGGTACATTTAATATAGAGATGCAGAGTTCTAAAAATATGTGCAAAGGAAAAAAGAATACTACTGCCACTCCTATTTCTAAAGCATTTTGAAATAATTTTTTACTACTAGTGATCAGAAGCTTTCTCATATCATATCTTTCTACTATTTATAACACTAATGCACTAAAGAACTTTCACAATATAAGTTTGTAAAGAGAAGTGACTACTTTTAATTGTTTTTTCAACTGTTATCTATAAATTCACAATATTTGTTTCCCCAATTTATCTTGTGTAACTCCATTGTCTTTTTCCCAATCTATCTGTGTATATTCACTGTCTTTCATGTTCTTTGTTTTGTATCTTCAATGCATTGTTTTGCATTTTTAGAACTTTCTTATGATATCACCATAAGGGCCTGGAAGTTTTCAGCTGCTCTCCTGAAACAGGTATGGACATGGCTACCATGCACTTAGGACAGATGCTTACAATAATTAAATTAAGTACAAGCTTCAGCATGTAATGTTAAGTGTGTTTTACTCCACTAGCATCTAAAAGTAGTTCATCCAGTACACATTAAGTTAATTTTATTAAACAATGTTTATTAGGAAGAAATAATGCACTGCATTTTTCTTATTCCCCAACATCTGAGGAAAAAGTCTTGATTACAAAACAACTGAGGGGTGGGGTGAAACTAACTTAGTCACGAACAGAAAATAATGTATAACTTGACAGGTAAGTGAAACTGTTACTGAGATAAATTTATTTATCATACCTCTTGCTATATGAACAAGAAGATAAAGTGAACCTCTTTGAAATCAGATAATCAATGTTTCTGAGTAAAATATACAAAAATAAATAAATATAAAGCAATTCACTATATTGAAAATATTTGCTATGCAAAAATGTCATCTTTAATTAACTAAGAGCAAAAATACTTTTTTTTGTACTTTTTCCTAGTTTCTTAGTATCTGTACAAAAAAAAATACAAGATGAAAATACAAACTCAGTATGTATGGTATTAATGATTTTTCTTCAGTGCTTCTGAGATCCAAAAGTACAGAAAGCTGATGATGTCTTAAGATCTGTATGGACTGTATAATTTCAATTGCAGAAATGGTACAATTTTACTTTCTAGCATAAAAACCTGTTCCATGTATAATCTCTGGCTACCCGTCAAAGTATATTGTCACAAAAATATTAGAAAAATTCCATACAATTTTGAAATTATATTTAGTGTGTAATCAAATTAAATAAACTAGACAAAATAATTATTTTTATTTCTGCACTTGAGGGTTAATGCCACCATAGGTGGAATAATGAGTCAAGAGCTTCAAGCAACAGCTTTTGACAGGGAGTAATAGTGAACTGTTAAAGGACATAGCTGTATACACAAATGTCTGGTAGAAAAATTAAAAATGATTCTATCTATCTATCTATCTATCTATCTATCTATCTATCTATCTATCTATCTATCTATCATCTATCTAATCTATCTTTATCACACAACTACTGTATATTTAATATAAAATGATATAACATGTATAATTTGTATGACATGACACCAGTGACATGCGGTGAGGTTTATGGCTGGTGAGGCAAAAAGAAAGAAAGCGGCTTTTGGCCGCCCCGCCGCTATGTCCAACATAGAGGCGTCAGACATAGTGGTGGGGCAGCCAAAAGCCGCTTTCTTTCTTTTGCAGCAAAAGAAAGTGCCAGCCCGCCAGCAGAGGCGGGTAAAAGACCCACCTCTGCTGGCAAGCTGCCCCGACACAGAGAAAGAAACAAACACTGCCCCGACACAGAGAAAGAAACAAACACTGCCCCGACACAGAGAAAGAAAGCTGGCGGACTGCCCTCCCTGCCTCTCCTACCCCTTTCCCTCTGAGTGAAGAAACAAACACATGCACACACAAATTACTTAAAATTACTTACAAATTACATTAATTTTGAATTTATCCCCCTCCCTCTGACCCACATACCTTTTCCAGCTGTTTCACAATCACAGAGGATTTCAATTCTGCTCTTGCCTGCCATCATGAAAATGTAAAAATATAAAAGGAAAAAGGCAAGAGCTGCTGAGGTCAGACTGGGTTAGCTGCTGCCAGAGTCCCCAATGGGTGACTCTGCTTAACTATTTAAAAAAGCCTGTAAAAAACGCCCTCTACAGGAGGAGGCAAGAGAACCATGTGCCTCATCTACATAAGGAATTTTTCAGCTTTTAACTCTTGCTTAACTCTGCTCGAGTGATCATAAAGTCAGACTAAATGAGGCACATGGTTCTCCCGCCTTCTCCTGTAGAAGACACATTTTAGAGGCTTTTTTAAACAGTTAAGCACTAAGCAGAGTCATCCACTGTGACTCTGGCAGCAACTACCTCAGCCTTTTTCCTTTTTTCTTTTCATGGCAGTGGTGAGGCTCTGCCTCCCCTGCCTGCACATCACTGCATGACACACATTGGCTCCTCTGCAATTGTCTGCGGCTGCTCCCACATGGCCTGACATGCTTAAACTGGCCTACAACTATGATGCAAGGCAATGCCCATGTTTAAATAAGACTGAGTACCCTTGAATCATATATTGGAATTGGGCTGTCACCATATTACAGGTACTCTTCCAGTTATGACCCTAATGGGTTTGCTCTTTGGTCCGCCATCGTTTGTGAAGCAAGAGGCTAGAGAATTTGTAGGGCTCCCCATCTGGAGCTTCTGGAGGGAATGTTATTCATCCAAAAATTGTTCTGGCAAGACCAGGTGGCCCTCCACTTCTACACTATAGCACATACAGACAGGTGCCCAGACTGAAGTTGGATTGGATGAATGAATTTACAGGGGTCAGTGGAGCCACCTTCCTTCCGCTGACACCCACCCATCAGCTGTTCTATATGCAATCTTCAATAGCACACACTAATTCTCAAGGCAAAACAGTACAGGAGATTGCAGAGCCTTTTTCTGCAAGCAATCTCAAACTACATGCAAATATACAGGACAGTAAAGGATCCTTCTGGAAGCAAATTCAAACTACATGCAAACAAACAAACAAACAAACAGTATAATGTAATGCAAAGGAACTTTACAGTACTAAATCTGCTTTCTGTGGATACCAGCTAGAAGTTCTGTCAGGCAAATGCAAATGCAGACAAACACACTAATGAAAAAAGGTTATCTTTGTAAATTACTTACAAACAAGCACAGTACTATAATGAAAAAGAAAATTTTAAAGTACTTACAAAGGCAACTACAGTACTCCAGTCCTCAAGGCAACAGCAACCAAAGAAGCAATAAGGGCAGCAATGAGTGATTTACTCCTCTAGTCCTCTACCCGGCAGCAATGGGGAGGGGGAAAAAAAGCAGGCTGGCTGCAAAGACTCCAATCTTGATTGGTCATGTGACCAGGAAGGGAAAAAGCAAGCTGACCATCTGAGATTTGGAAATTGCCTGTTGTAATACCAGAAGATAAGAAGCAGTCAGAAAACTAAAAATGGCCACCACTTCAAGTGAGATAAATCCAGGTCACATGACTGTAGAGATGTCTTGTTGGTCACAATTATGTTATATTTTTGGAGTACATTCGTTACTTCAAATACATGTTAAACAGATGTTGAGGACTACCTATACTCTTCCTCAGATAACAAGCATCTTCACCCAGTCCTGTTCTCACTTTAACTAACTGTAAGTTCCTAGATTCCTGTGAATTCTATGGGATTTCTTTCTAAATAGACAAGGAGAGCATTGAGCTATAAATTGACCTAGATGAATGATGAGTATAGCTTTTTTTTTTAATATTTCCTTTGAAAACTCACTGACTTTAGTAATTTAATATTAAGATGATGGACACCATGGTTCAGTGGTTAAGATGCTGGCTTGCCGGCTGGAAAGTTGACAACCCGGGATTCAGGTCCTAAATACTGTGAGACAGGGTGAACTTCTGTTATCTACCCCAGTTCCTACCCATCAAGCAATTTGAAAGCATACATATGTGAGTAGCTAAATAGGTACCATTTCGGGGGCAAGGAAACAGCGTTCCATGCACCTCGATATATAGTCATGCTGGCCAAATGACCACAGAAATGTCTTCAGACAATGCTGGCTCCCTTGGATAAGAAATGAAGATGAACATCGTCCATCAGAGTTGGACATGACTGGACAGGGAATATCTTCACTATTAAGATGATAAATATTAGACTAAATCCAGGTATAAAACAACCTTGGACAGAAAGCCTTTTCATAGCTTTTGTATGTCAGTTCATAAATAGGTATTTGAACCTGATCTACCACTGAAGTTCCCACAAGCTATACTGAGGCCACAATAAGATATAAACAAAGATTCAAATGAAACTATCAATGAAGAAAGTATTAATACCTAAGAAAGTTGGCATCTGTTCAAGAAAGATTTATACCGATACTTAGCCGGAAACATTCACTCAAGAAACAGAGAAATACTTTGATATTTAATCAGGCAAATTACTTCAGGATTTATTTATATTTAGTCTATTTATATGGTGCTGTATAAAAAAAACCTCTGATAACTATATAACTAAAGTAATATAACTAGTAAATAAACAATCATAAAATATAGCCAAACGTAAGAAAAAATTATGCCAAAGCAATTCATCAATCAGAACAATATAGCCAGATGAGTTCATAGGTCACCCTGACTCAATGGCTGGGGGAAAAACAGGTCTTCAAAAGTAGGCAGGGTCAAGGACATTTGGAACTCACGAAGAATAATGTGTAAAGCTGGGATTTATACGTTCTATCATGCTAAGTAATTCCATTTATCTCAGAAATAATAAGAATTACATTCCAGTAACATTTTATAAATTCCCGATAGGCTAGACATTTCAATTAACTTTTGTTGATATAATTTGTGCATTGACTTGCATTCTTCAAAAGCAGTCTTATTTTAGAAAAGACACAAAGTTGAGCTGGATGCACTGGGGAGGAACTTTACCAGATTATTTCATCTAATTGGGTTGTTTAGAATTGGTCATATGCCATTTGGTAGCTATTTGATGTGACAATAACATGTTTTCAATTTTCCAAATGTGTCCAACAGCTTAAAGTTAGAGAGAACGTATGTGAAAGATGGTTTGAATTTTATTTTTATATCAGTGATTGTTGTTGCATACAAATCAAAACTGTCCAATGGACCAGATGTGAGACATTTGGAAACCAGGTTGTAAATTTTCTTTGGAAATCTACTTAGTTTTACCACAGATTTTTTTTCATCACATAAAATAAATATTCTGGTTTGGTTATTGGGTACAACATAATAACCTTAACTGAACTTAATTAGGGGTCCTTGGTCCTCTCTGAGCTTGCTTGTTTTCTTGCAGATGTTTTATTACCCTAACTAAGTAACATCATCAACATTCTCATTTCATCAGCTACAAATATTGAACTTAATCGTGAAAGTTGCAATTCAAGCAAATCTATAAAGACTCAGATTGGGGAAGGTCAGTTCACACTTTTAAGAATCTTAGTTTCATTTTGGTGTTTAATAAAAATCGGCTGAAATACCGATGGATCTGTGTTACAATATGTGGCAACACTTCTACTTTTCATTTCATAATACCTAATATTTCATATTAAGATATTATAAAATAAAAGAATCTTAATATGGAATAATTTATGAATTTACCATAGATCTTATAAGACATCTAATATCACATTTTAACATAATATTCTGTGAACTTAGATCAATAACCCCTCACAAAGAACACAGGCAACACTTCCTAAACATGTGATATTCACTGCAATCTATCAGTAACATAACTTAAGAAAACAGCTAAAGAGTTAATGATGTAAATTTAAGAATAATTTAGAAACATTGTTCAAATAATAATAAGACCAATCACAATGGCATATAAGTAAGGAAAATCATTTTGATATTAGGGTGACCTTCATCTAGGAGGCATAAAAATGTCAAAGGTCGATTAGAATATTAGTAGTAGCAAAGACCAGAACAATTGCCTTGATTTATGTTGGGCAATGAGTAAAGGAAGCTCCAGAATTATATTGTCAATCTACTGGACTAGATTTTATTCTTTCTAATAATAAAACAAGAATATTTATCTTGCTTCTTAATTGCTGAAAGAGATTGGGTATCAAAACCTGTCTTGTCATAAATGTTCCAATACCAATAGCCATAATTGGGCAGAGCATGTAGCAATATCTTGTAAATGGCTTTCAACAGTACTAGCATCAAGTGTATATCTTTCAGTAACATTCAAGTGAAAACCATTCAGCAAATATCAGGGGAAAATCAATTGAATCAATTGAAAACATGTATGTATGTATGTATGTATGTATGTATGTATGTATGTATGCATGTATGCATGCATGAAATTTGTTGTCCATCTTGTACATGACTCTGCGTGGCTTACAGCATGTACATCTTTTATGTGTACAAACAATGTCTAAAACAATTATACCAAAAACTAGTTATGTCAAAAATTACTACTAATGGTTCCTATTCATGCCATCTTACAGAATTCACTTCAAACCAAAATCATACACTGAGAGCATATGCACCAAAGACAAATTACTTGTGTGTCCAATCACACTTGGCCAATAAAGAATTCTATTCTATTCTATTCTATTCTATTCTATTCTATTCTATTCTTCTATTCTAATTCTAATTCTAATTCTATTCTATTCTA